TCATTATATAGAGAGAAAAGATTGGTGATTGCCTCATGGACAAAATGGGCAAAGGTGGTCAAAAGGTACAAATTTCCAGTTATAAGTCAGTCATAGGATGTAATGTACAGCCTGGTGACTATATATACATGGCTAATATGCAAAGTGTCCTCTTGGGAGTTCAACCAGGAAACCAGGAGTTCGATTGCTGCTATAATGTGTGCTGACTACCAAGGGGCGGCGCAGAACCAAGGAAGGCCCCGGCCGACAGCCGGCAGCCAGGGAAGGAAGACCCCAGCCGGCAGCTGGAAGATCCTGATCAGCCCTGATAGCGGGCCACACCTAGGGATCCTACCCATGACGAATTTCATGTACCGGGCCTCTAGTATGGAATAAAACTAACACTCCTACATGTCTGGCATTTTAAACACAGCATGTAACTTAATCCTTACAACTGGCTAGGTAGATACCGATGTTTGGGTTTTCCCTATATCACCAAGCAATTCTCCAACACTGCTGGGTGTACTATAATTCAACTCAATTCTGACACTTCTACCTGGAGACAGTGTCAGATCCCACGGGTTAAGGCTTCAGTCCTACAAGACTGCACCAGTCCCTGACTTCAGGCGACAGACGCAACTCCAGGTTGTTACCTGTGCTTCTGACTGACCAAGTATACACCTCAGAGGTTCCCATGAGCAGGTCTTTGGGTTTGATTAATTTGCTAGAGGGCCTCTCAGAACTCAGAGAAACATCTAACTTACTAGATCACCAGTTTATTAGGAAAGGATAGAACTCAGGAGCAGCCTGGTGGAAGAAGCACACAGGGTGAAGTGATTGGGAAGGGCGTGGAGCTACCACACTCTCTCAGAGAGGGCCCTTCTCCCCGCACTCAAGTTTTCCCCGCCCAGAACTCTCTGAACCCTGTCCTTTGGGTTTTCATGGAGGCTTCGCAACACAGGCATAAATGATTGAATCACTGGCCACTGGCAACTGAACTCAATCTCCAGTCCCTTTTCCCTCCCCAGAGGCGGGTATGGGACTAAAGTTCCACCCCTCTAATCATATGGTTCTCCTGGAAACCAGTCCCTAACCTTTGGTGCTTTCCAAAAGTCACTATGGTGAATAACAAGACACCTTTATGGATATCATCACTTTGAAAATCCCAGGGGTCTTAGGAGCTCAGTACCAGAAATGGGGACAAAGAACAAATGTATATCTTTTTGTAAATCACAGTATCACAGTAGACCTAATTCTTGGGCTCAGGCAAGGGACACAGTTGAAAAGAGGAGGAGCCAGGATTCAAAGCCATGGCTATCCATGCACTCTTGTGCCAGCCTGCCCAGGGCACACTAACAGACTGCTGGGAGAACTGAAGCAATACCTCAGTCTAATGATCTAATGCCACAAATGTACACTGAGAACCTAATGCGTGACAGGCATACAATGTTTGTGCAAAACGCTGAGAAGTAAAGAAAATGGAGAAGCTCCCCTTGCCTCAAAGCTGACAAGCCTTGTGATGGCACAGTTATTTAAACACTTGACTATGGTGCGATGCAATGTACACACTCAACCAGACCACGCATCTTCACTGAGCACCTTCTAGATGTTTCTAGGGACTGCAACTACGTCAGTGAACAAGACAGCATAATAACATCATGCCCACACAGAGCTGACTTTACGTACGGGAATAGAAAAGTACAACATGCAGTGCGAGTTGGTGATAAGTGTGATGGGGGTGCCGGAGTCCATTCATTGTCTTCACTAGCTGAATTTAGACAGAGACCCCCCAAAAGCTGGTAGCCCTTGAAAGTCCTGGCAAAAGTCAAGGCTTGAAAGTCCTAGCAAAGGTCAGGGCTGTGCACCACCCAGTTAATTAAGACACCACCCAGTTAATCTAGCTAAAGCATCATCCCCACCTTAGTTCACTTAATTCCTTAGATACCTGTGTAGATCCTTGTTGATTATTGTTGATCAGATACTCTGCCCATTTCTGGAAATTGTTTACCGATGAGCTAATCCATGTGTCATTGAAATCTCCTTACCTAAGGCTATCCTGACCTCAATAAACGATCGGAGCGGCCTGAGCTTAGGTGGAAGTCCCTCTCCTTGAGTTGGACTTGCCCGCCTGGTCCTCCACTATTGCAAAATTATCTCGTGTCTTTTTTCTCATTTGTGTGCGGCCCCTCTTTCAGATACTGAACCCTACTCCATGCGGGACGTGGAGGGAGTCCTACGCGACATGGGGGAAAACAAAGAGGGACAGAAATATAAGGGAGAAGGTACCATCTTAAATATGCACCAGTTTCAAATGGTCCCCATGGCTCTATTAGGATGCCGTGGGGCAAAGTGTCACAGAGAACAAGGGTGTGAGAGGACAGAGAAGTGGGAGCTGGGTGGGTCGGGGTAAGAGGATGCGGGACGTGGAAAGTCTCCAGGATGAGTTGAGCGCTGAACAAGATGTCCCCTTCCCTTCGCTTCCTTTGCAGGAACGTGCCTCCTGACTGTCCACGCTGCAGGGCATGAGTCAGCGCTGCTGACTTGACAGCCTTTCCAGCAAATACCTGTGTCTCTCCACATTGCCCAAACCTTTGAGTCGCCTCCCAGTGTTACAAACTTATGTGATTATGTCAGCCTTTCCTGGGTCATGAAAGTCAATGGCAACTTTTAGGAGTTTATTAAATTATAAAAGAAACACAATCACAGTATAAAATATGAAAAATAGACCCTGGCTGGTTAGATCAGTTGTCAAATGGAGTATTGTTCCGATACGCCAAGATTGTGGGTTCGCTCTCCAGTCAGGGCACATACAAGAAACAACCAATGAATGCATAAATAAGTGCAGCAAAGAGATGTTTCTCTCTTTCTCTCTCCCTTCCTCTCTCTAAAATCAACAAATAAATTTTTAAAATAAATAAAAGACTCTCCTTTTTAAAAAAAAAAAAAATATCAGGAAACATAAAGGTTTCCAATATTATCTCTGTTCACATTTTGGTACATTTTTTGCCAGAGTTGTTTAACATAACTAGGATCACTTTGCATCCATATAATTTTGTATCCTGCTCTCATTATTTTTACTAAATATCTCGTTTTTAATTCTACATGTGCATTTTCTGCTTTAAAAGAATTCTGCACAGCCATGGCACATTTGGCTCAGTGGATAGAGCATCAGCCTACAGACTAAAAGGTCCTAGGTTCAATTCCAATAGGTGGTGTGCAGGAGGCAGCTGATCAGTAATTCCCTCTCATGCTTGATGTTTCTCTCTCTCTCTCTCTCTCTCTCTCTCTCTCTCTTTCTCTCCCTTTCTCTCTGAAATCAATAAAAATATTTTTTTAAATTCTGCACAGACATCAATTTAATGGCTACATAATATTCTACTCTACTGATGCACTACACTTTATTAACCATTTCCCAACTGTCAAGCATTTAAATTTCCAAGTTTTCATCAATATAAATTTCCCTGCAAGTAACTTTATGCAGCAGGTATTTCAAGTAATTCCCTCAATAGATTCCAAGAAGGAGAATTGTGGGAAGCTGGGAATGCGTCAGAGCAGTCACTGCCCAGGCGGACTGCAGGCCACTCACTGCACTAGCTGCAGAGGCAGCCACAGAAGCTGGTCATCTCTAGCCACCTTTATGCTCTTGAAGGCAAATGGTTGTAGAAGCAGCATATTTACCTGCTGTCAGAATCCGAGGCGATTTCCTTTCTCCCTCCGAAGCGGATCTGGCACTGCACAGAAAAAGAAGCCGCTGAGATCAGCTGTTGGGATGAGACACTCAACTGTCACAAAACAGTCCACACAGGCCTCAGGCTCTGCCAGGGACACGGGGCCAGAAACGCTGGGTGCCGAGTCAGTGTGTCCCTTTGTCCTGGGTGTCAGCCCAAGACATAAGACAGTGGACACCCAGCCTTCCAGCCGCCACTTCAAGGAAGTCCTTATCTCCCTCCCACTTGTACAGAGTGAGCCTTGTGGGAAAACAATGCTAAGAGGAAAACAGAAGCACAAAGCTTTTGCACATTATCTAGGAAACTTTATGTGTCAGCAGCTGGCTGTCCATAACACAGGGCTCTTAATAGGCAATAATTAAAACTTCCACAAATCTGCAATGATGGTCCCCTTTTGACAGGACCCAAGGTTGTTATGAATGGCTAGAAAATTATGACAGTACAAATCACCCTTCAGCCCTGGCCAGGTGGCTCAGTTGGTTGGAGCGTTGTGCTGTACACCAAAAAACTGTGTGTTCAATTCCCGGTCAGGGCACATACTTAGGTTTCAGGTTCAATCCCTGGTCGTGGCATGTATAGGAGGCAACTGATCAATATGTCTCTCTCACATCGATGTTTCCCCCCACCCCTGCTCTCTCTTTCTTTTCCTCTCTCTAAAATCAATAAAAACATATCCTTGGGTGAGAATTAAAAAAAAAAAAATTATGCTCCAAACAAGTCGTCTAGTTGTGCTAAGTTACAATTTTCCCAGGGTGGGTACAAACAAGAGCAAACTGTTCTCTTTTTATTTTTTTTTAATTGCAATAAAATATAGAAAACATAAAATCACCAGTTTAACCATTTCTAGTTATACAATTCAATTCACAATACTGTGAACCCATCACCACTACCCACTCTTCTCTTTTAAAGAGTAGCAGGCTTACAAGATTCCTGAACTTATTATATATATTTTTTAAATGATACATTTGTCAAAACTTATAGAACTTTGCACTCAAAATTGGTTTATCTTATTGTATGAAAATTATACCTCAATAAAGTTGATCTTTAAAAGGCATACATGTACAACACTTTCGTTCCCCCCAAATAATAATACCAGTCATGGCAGATCTGGGCATAAGCTCCAATTTATTTACCCTAACCCTAACCCTAACCACTACACTTAAAGTGGTTCCACTTGCCTCCTCATTTTCTTGTCATATTTTATTTTCTTTTTTTAAATATATTTGTATTGATTTCAGAGAGAAAGGGAGAGAGAGATAGAAACAACAATGGAGAGAATCATTAATCGGCTGCCTCCTGCACACTCCCTACTGGGGATCAAACCCGCAACCCAGGCATGTGCCCTTGACCAGAATCAAACCCAGCACCCTTTCAGTCCGCAGGCCGACGCGCTATACATGGAGCCAAACTGGCTAGTGCTTGTCATATTTTCCATTTCTGGAGCAAAGAAAGAAGAAACAAATACGTGTGCTCTTAACTGACAGCGGGCCAAGAGCTGGCCAGGCCTTTC